TATACGCAGCCGTTAAAAGGAACAAGTGAGGTTGCTGCCAACTGACATGAGAAGAAGCAAATCATGGAAATTTAGAGAGTATGATCCCATTTGTTTTTTTAAGAAAACCCTCCCCAAACACCTGTGTGTGTGTGTGTTTATGTTATTATGTGAGCATAAGAAAGGAATGTGAGGTTCCACATGCATTAGTTAATACTGGTTACCTTGGGCGAGGCAGGGGTCCCAGCGGCACCTCGGAGGAAGAGCCTGGCAGTCTAAAGAAGCAGCATCGAGAACTCCCTGGAGCACGATTCTACTCTCACACATCTCCAGATAAAGACAGTTTTGTTTCTTCCTCCCTGTTCTTTATATCCCCCCCCTTTTTTTTCCTTGCCTTGCTGACCTTGCTGGGTCCTCCAGGACAGTTTGAACCATACTGGAAGTGGTGACAATGGCTATCTTTGTCATCTTTCCATTCTGAAAGGGGAAGCACTCAGTGTCTCACCATTATGTATGATGTCTGCTGTGGGTTTTATGTCCTTACCCATTATCGGGGCAAGGAAGTCCCCTTCCATTCCTAGTTTGCTAAGAATTGTTCTCATGAATGGATACTGACTTTCGTCTGCAAACAGAGGGACGCCCGTAGGACTTCTTCATCCTCCGTTAGTGACAGATTATGCTGAGCATTCCAGTACTGAACCAAGCTGGCTCTCCTGGGAAAAGCCCCGCTCCCCTGTGTGGTATTCTTGTTATGTATTGCTGGATTCAGCTTGTTACTCGTGGGATTTTTGCATCTCTTTTCCCGAGTGAAATGGGCCAGTACTTTTCCCTTTTCATATTCCCCTTGTCAGATTTGGTGTCAGGGTTATGACTGCCTCACAGAATAAGTTGGGCAGTTCCCTCCTGTTCTATGTTCTGACTTTGTGTAAGCGTGGAATTCATTGTTCCCTGAATGCTTATTAGAACACCCAGCTGAAGCCACCCAGGCCTGGAGGTTTCTTTGTGGGAAGGCTGACTCCTGATCAGCTCTTGCTCTTCCATAAATCTCAGTGCTATCCCTTCCTCCCCATCCCCCCAGACCACACGGCCTCTCCCCTGGACCATCGTGGCACCCTAGGGGGTGTACCTCCTCCTCATCTAGTGCCCCTGAAGCTCCCTCAATCCTGGCTCTCTCCGGGCCCAAAATGTCTACCAGTCCCCACTGCCCCTGATAAAATCCACATCTCTAGCAAGGCACCCACCAACCTCTGCTGTAACCCAACCTCCCCGGACTTCCTTCTGAGTGCAAAACGCAGGACCCAGGACCACCTGTCCAACTTCCCTTCCCACTGTGCTCTGCTGAACTGGTGGCACACCCGGGTCTCTCGTGTCAGGGCCTCTGCCCATGAGGGTCACTACAAAAGGCTGTCAGACCAGACCCCTCGTGCTGCCAACGCCACCTCTTCCGGGAAGCCTGCCCCTTCCCTTTGCCCACAGGTTTCCTCCGTCCTGTAGCTCTCAATTTCTGCATAGTATCAGACTGCTTTGGGGTGGATATTAAGCAAGTATTCCAAGAGGACAGGCATATATTATAACTGCTCACCTCTTCAGGTACCAGGCACCATGCTAAGTGCTGGGATACCTCAATGGCCAAGTCCAGCCATACAGAGCTTCCCAGTCAGCGGGAAATAGAACAGCTTTCAATGCACAAGCGTAAAGAACCAAATACAAATCACCCAGAGTCCCACACATAACATACCAGAGCAGTTCTTCCCAGCTTTAAGAAGGCGTAAAATAACCCATAGAGGGTCAGTGAAAAGAGGGAGACCCTCCTTGAGATGGGTGGACAGTGGCTACAACAATGGGCTCATACACACAACGATTGTGAGGATGGTGTAGGACAGGTCAGCGTTTTGTTCTGCCGTATGTAAGGTTGCTGTGAGTCAGAGCCAACTCAATCGCAACTTAACAACAACAGATAACCTACTGGAATAGGGAGGTATACCCCATTTTGCAGATGAGGGTACTGTAAAAGTGGTGTGGGGGCATTTGACTTTCTCTAACTTCACAAGGGAGAGGAGAATCAAGATCAACGGCCCAAGGCTGATTCCTGTGAGCAGAGGTCAGACATACCTCCTCTCTCCAACCTTTTTACCAATTCTGACACCAGCCGTCCCTTCCACGGCACCCTACTTCTCTGCTGGGTTCAGTAATTCATTGCAATGGCCACACAGAACTTGCAGGCAATGCTTACAATTATGGGGTTTTTAGGGAAGTAACAGGTTACAACTCAGGATCAGGAACAACTCAGGATACAGTTCATCCATCAGGACAGCTTCTGGCTGTGCCCACAGGCAAGTCTCTCTCTGGCCTCGGCCTCTCAGCCCCTTGGTCTCTCGGCCTGCCTCTGCCCTGCTTGGGCAAGTGTTACAAAGCTCTTTAGCTCTGCTGATAAGAGCCCGGGGCACCCCACTCCGCAAGAAAGCCTCGGCCCCAAGGCGCCCAGCTCTCTCACTCTGTGAGTGGACACACCCATTGTGGCCACCTTGCTAGTAAGCCCACTGCACCGTCTCACGCCGATCTCCTGGTTCTGCTGCCGCCGTTTCTCTGCCGCTGCTTCTCACCTTCAGGCCATCCCCAATGTTACAACTCTCTCTCTGTCTCTTTCCTGGTCTGGGAGGTTCTCAGTGCAGGGATCCTAGGTCCAAAGGCCGCGCTTCGCTCATGGCTCTTTTTGGTGCTAATGAGGGTCCCCCCTCTGCTCTGGGTTGGCTCTCTTTTAAGCCTAGTGGATGGCAAAACCCCTCCTTAGTGTTCCATACACTTTATTTGCATGGTCCCACCCCTACAAGGGTGCCATGCACCTTATTTGTATTATTAGCAAGCTGTCCAATCTCCTTGGTGGGCCACAAGCACCTCATTTGCATAGTCCCACCCAATCATTTGGTGGAGTTACAAGACCATGGCTAGAAAGGCCATACAAAAGCAATCCATCGCACCACAGGAACTGAGGCACAGAGAGCTTAAGCCAGAGGTCACATGGCTAAGGAGCGATGCGGTCTGGATTTTGATTCCCGCGGCCTGGCTCAGAGCACTCCCTCAACTTTTTTTTTTTAGTATAATGGGTGGAGCTGTTTGGCCCTGTTTGGTGACCTGAAATTTGTACTTTCTACACCCGTCTTACTCTGGGGCCACAGAAACATGCCTTCTGGCCCATGACATACCTGCTCTGCCTGCTTTTTCTCAGGCTAATGTGGGACCTGCTTCCCCAGACCCTTCCACAAACTGCTGTGTGGCCTCAGGCTAGTCGATGGGCTTCTCCGGCCACATCTGTGAAAAAAGGATGGGATCCAGCCTGGGCTTTCAGGCACCGCACAGAACCTGCCCCTCACAGGGGCACCCGGGGTCACTGGTGTCCCCAGTGGGGGGACAGGGTGTTCCCAGGCCCCTCCTTACTCCTCACTTCCTGCATGGCAGTGGGCATGTCCAGGCGTCTCCAGAGGGGAAACCTGTGCTTAGCAAACCTCATCCAAAGGCAATGACCCCAAAGGAAGCATGTGTCCCCACTGGGGGGACAGGGTGCTCCCAGGCCCCACCCTAGTCCCCACTTCCTGCATGGCAGTGGGCATGTCCAGGCGTCTCCAGAGGGGAAACCTGTGCTTAGCAAACCTCACTCAAAGACAATGACCCCAAAGGAAGCATTGGTTCCCAACGACATGCTCGCCCCGGGAGCACTTCCCTCTCCGCCAGCCCTTTCCTCCACAGCACCTGCGATCCAGGGGGCGCTGAGGCCCCACAAGGCTGCCTGCTGGAGCGTGGGGGACAAGGGGCAACCCTGGGGACCACTGCTCCCTCCCTTCCCGGCCTCAGTTTGGCAGCTTTGTTATGGAAGGGGTGAGAATAGCAGCGATGGCATGCCCCAAACACGCTGCAGGCAGAATGTAGCAGCTGGGCTGGTCAGGGGTTGGAGCAGGGCTCAATGAACCATGTGAGGGGCTGGCCTTGTCTCTGTCCTCCGTGGGCTGGATGGCAGGCTCTTCAGATGGTACTGTCCCTGGCGTGGGTGACATGTGGGCCTCTGCTCCTCCCCCGAGGTTGCTAAAACCATCCCCCCATAGTCAGCCCCTGCTGAGGGGACACACGGGCTTTCCCTCACCACCACCCCCACTAGATGGGCGCCTTACCTTTCTATGCCAAGGCAGACTGGGGAAGCCTACAGACCCCTCATCAAAATATTTTTAAATAAATAAAACAAAAGGGTCATGAAGGAACCCAATTGTGTAGAAATACAGTTAATAAAATTAGAAGAAATCGTGTGTAACGTAGTAGTGTACTTTATTTAACACATTAAATAACGAGATGAAGTCGCAAGTCTAATATTCACCATGATTTTGAAGCAGTGATGAGCATAAAGAGAGATTTCTACAACAGCTGAAGTGTGATATGAAAATGTCTGGGTTTCTGTTGGTGACAGTCTCAGAAATGGTGGGCACTGATGGGCTGGGGGCTGGCCTTCCTAACTGATGGAAGAGTTGGGTGAAAAGGAAGAGGTAAATTTTTCTCATCCAACTTCCCAGACCCCTGAATTCTATCCTCTGATAGCCCTGCGCCCAAGTTCTGTCCATGGACCCTGGGCTAAGAACCCTGCTCTAGGTGATGCCGTTGTTGCTGTGTGCCTTCAGTTGATTCTGACTCATGGTGACCCTATAGGACAGAGTAGAGCTGCCCCGTAGGGTTTCCTAGGCTGTGATCTTTACGAGAGCAGATCACCAGGTCTTTTCTCCTGTGGATCCCTGGCTCTAGGTGGTAGGGTGTGTAAGACAAGTGTCGTGGATTGAATTATGTCCCCCAAAAAATATGTGTGTCGGTTTGGCTGGGCCGTGATTCCCAGTGTTGTGTGGTTGTCCTCCATTTTGTGATTGTAATTTTATGTTAAAGAGGATTAGGGTGGGATTGTAACACCCTCACTAAGGTCATGTACCTGATCCAACGTAAAGGGAGTTTCCCTGGGGTGTGGCCTGCACCATCTTTTATCTTACTAGAGATAAAAGGAAAAAGAAGCAAGCAGAGAGTTGGGGACCTCATACGACCAAGAAAACAGTGCTGGGAGCAGAGCACGTCCTTTGACCTGGGGTCCCTGCATGGAGAAGCGCCTAGTCCAGGGGAAGATGATGAGAAGACCGACAGAGAGAAAGCCTTCCCCTGGAGCTGACGCCCTGAATTTGGACGTTTAGCCTAACTTACTGTAAGGAAATAAACTTCTCTCTGTTAAAGTCATCACTTGTGGTATTTCTGTTAGAGCAGCACTAGATGACCAAGGCAACAAGCTAAGAGAGAAATGGGAGGCCTGAGAGGCGGAGAGAAGCAGTCTTCACTGTTGGGTGGTCTGTTTCAAAGGGAAGCTGATCGAATGCCTCTGGGCCTTTGCACGTGCTGCTCCCTCTGCTTGGCATTTCTGTTTGTAGAATGAATGAATGCATGCCTAAGTGAATGAATGATGGCTGGGCAAAGATGGGCCCTGCCGGGTTCTCAAAGCTCCTGCCAGGTGGCAGCCACCTCTGACCCCTTTGGGCCCCTCCGGTGCTGCCTCCACCCACCTGAGCTCCGGCTCCCACCTGGGAGAGCGGCACTAACATTGGCTGATCACCTCCTGTGGCCCAGGCTTGAGCTGGACGCCCTCATACACCTCTGGCAGGTAAGTCTCCAGGAGCCCTGCAGGGCACTTGGTTTACAGGTGAAGCACCTGGGGCCGGCTGGTGGGTGGTGGAGGCAGCCAGTGGGCTTGCCCACACTGCTCTCCAGGGAGCCCTGGGGTCCGGGGGGCCTCCACGGAGGTGGAGGTGCTGGGGGCGGTGATGAACACACGGGAGGAATGCCCTTGGAAGGGGGCTTCTTTGACGGAAACACTCGTTTAGATGGTTAAGTCATCATTCAAAACAACACAAAACCTATTTTCCTCCAGCCTGTGAGCCCAGGGTCTGTCTGTTGGTCAGCTCCGGCCACCCGTGGGAGATGCAGAGAGGGTGCAGGTGGCATCTGCCGCCTGGAGCTGGAAGCCTGGTGGAAGCCTAGAACCAACAACACCTGTGAGCAGGGAGGGGGGAGGGCAGGGACCACTGTGGCAGGCTGGGAGGGCTTCTTGAAGGAGGTGGCGAGGCAGGCTGGGTCAGTAGGAATTCACTCTCTGCAGGAGAGGCTGGGAGGGAGGAGGAGGACCCAGCATCTCCCTTTGGAGCAACTGGGAGACCAGGATGCAGGGCTCGGCCCTCGGGAGCCTCCAGCACGCTGGTGAAAGGAGACACGAGATGAGGCAGCCGTAAGGGCAGGAAGTGGGTGTTAGACATCTCCTGCCCACAAGGGCCAAATGGGGAGAACCGCAGTGAGCTAGCTTCCTGCAGAGCGGACCCTGCAGCGGAGCCATGGCTGGGATCTGAAAGGTGGTGCTGAGGGTGGGGGGCATCCTGGGCAGAGGGCACAGCCTGACCAAGAGTGGGGAGTGGACGGGGCCAGAGGAAGCGAGAGACTGAACCTGAGCAACTGGGCTGGGGCAGGAACCAGAGGGCCTGCAAAGCTGCGTGGAGGGGCCTGTGGCCAGAATGGGGCCCCAAGGGGGCTGCGGAGGCCTTTGGAGCTTAGGCGGTATGTGGAGGGTGCTGAGGAGGGGAAGTGATGGGCACCACTCACACTAGGGCAGGCAGGCTCCCCAGCGGGCACCCCAAACCCACATAGGGATCCTAGGTAATACCTACCTTCGCCCACCCACCCAACGGGTACAGAGATTTTATCCCCTTGAATTTGCCCAACGTCCTGTGTGAAAGACAAGATCTGTTCATTCATTCATTCATTCATTCAAAAAATGTGGTCCATGCTGAGATTTGTGCTGGACTGACAGAGAACTTTCACTTCATATGTTTTGAACTGTTGGAATTATTTTATAATGAACATGTATTATTACCTCTGCAACCAGAAAAGCCAATAGAGATTAGACACAAACAAACCAAAATCACGGACCAGGTGGTCCCTGGAATACAAAGCTGACTTCAAGGGAAGTTACATTATCGCTATTTTCCAAACATCTGACTATTCACGATGCATTCACGAAAGCCCGTTTATGGGGACACACCGCAGAAGTTTTCCCAAGGTCTATTAAAGGGGTTAGGTCTTGAGACCAGGAAAACTGATGTCTCCCCTCAGGAACTGGTAAGATTCTTACCCCATGGATCCCAATTGTGATCTTTCATCCTGTTTCTCTTTTTGTGCTGGCCACCAGGAAGCTCAATGTTAAATCTTTCCCCTGCCCCTAATCTCTGGCATTTGTGCAGAATGTTCTGGCATGAATTTTTGAACACTAACTTTATTACTGACTTTGCCTCACACATCCACCTGTCAGAGGGGGTGACACCAAAATGACTGTCTATAAAATTTTTGTGCAGTGTTTCAGCTGAAATATATTATTTTTTATAAAAATATCCCTGTAGTTGGTTATAACAACAAAAACATTTCTCGTACAGCCAGCTTACGTGTAGCAATATATCTACAATGCTTTATCTCTATGCTGATTTACTTTTTGAACCTTCTAATGTGCTCTAGTCAGAGCTGTCCTTATTACACAATTACAATGATGCTTCAAATCACTTGGTTTCATCTGCACGTGCTGTGAGCATGTGCTATTGTTTCATTGCTGCTGGTGTCTTTATAGTCACTGATTTTGTCAAATTTTCTTGAGTTTTAACTACAATATTGTGTTAATTAGTATTCGTGAACCTGTATCAATAACTTTTTTGACAATGAGATAGTAATTAAAGGAAAAGAAGGACAAAAGTAAAAAAGACTTCCTTTCAGTTACAAATAATGTTGCAACTCAATGTAGAAAGATTTTACAAAACAATTTTGTTGTTTAGTGTTTGCATAATCTAAGAAATATTACATTTATGCAATCTACAACTGTATTTATCACATTATTCTATGAATAAAATTGAGAATAAACATTACTAAGGATTCTGCATGGTCTTGTATGGGAGAAGGTTCCTGGGGGAGGTGACACCATGAGTTACTGCCCTGGTTGACACCCACCTAGTGACGATACTGGTCGTGAGGACCAAGAGGCAACTGTGGGAGTGTTTCCGGGGCTCCAGCTGGTCTGGGGCCGGGAGGGCCTCCCCGAGGAGCTGGCATCAGAGCAGAGGCCAGGGCCCCCTGGGTGGGAGGCCCATCATGATGTTCAAAGCTGGGCTGAAAGTAGTGCCAAACCATTTTCTTCAAAAAATAAAATAGAAACATAGCAAACAAATAAACAAAAAGCTATTAAGGGGTTAGGTCATGCATTCACATGGTACAAAAATCTAAAGGTAGAAAGGGCATCAGTGAAAACCCAGTCTCCACTCTCCCTGTCTGCCAACGGCCCAGCTCACCTTTCCAAAGTGAACAGTCTGAGCTGTATCCTGGGTATTCCTTCCAGAGATAGATTACAAAATACAAGTACACACGTGCATACCGTTCTGTACTTTGCTTTTTATACCTAACACTGTACCTTGGAGACCCTTCCGTAGTGGAGCGCAAAGCACTTCCAGGCTCTGCTTCCGGCTGCACGGTATTCCAGGGAGGGATGGGACTTCTGGTGCTGGCCAGTCTCCAAGGGTGGACATCTCCAGAGCTTCCAATTTTGCTATTGCAAGCAACACTGCAATGAGCAACTGTCCTTGTCCCCACGTCTCTTGTGTGTGCATGAGTGTATCTAGAAGAATCTATTTCCTTTACAAAGCTTTCACTGTGCTTCTACAAAGGGCTCCAGCAGGACCCAGCTCCTGCAGTAATGTGTGCTGGGACGCTTTAGAAACCTCACCTGTCCATGAGTGTCTTTCACTTCCAGGAATTCTTTAGTGCGGAGCTGAGATACCTGATGCTGGCTCGTTCTCATGGATTTATGATCCCCTGAGCCACGGCCATGGAGAAATCACACTCTGAAATCCAGGGCGCTGACAGCAGCAATTCATTCTTTCAGTTTCCTGTAGTAAACGCTGATGAGCCAAATGGCCTGATTGTAAATGGGGTGGCCCAGCGGGGAATCGGCAGATAGGGCACCCTCATCGCGCAGGAATGCTCAGACTCGAGGCGGAATGGAGTGAAGCTCATTTTTAAGAACACTTCAGTCAAAAGTCTGAAAAATACGCATGCTTTTTGGGTAGTACAAATGGTTAACGTGCTCAGCTGCTAACCAAAAGCTTACACGTTCGAGTCCACCCAGAGGCCCCTCAGAAGGTCTACTTCCAAAAAATCAGCCATTGAAAACCCTATGGCCTATATATAGAAAATCCTAAAGAAGCCACAAGAAAATTTCTAAAGCTAATGGGGGAATTTAGCAAAGTTGCAGGGTACCAGGTCAACAAACAAAAATCAGTTGGGTTTCTATACACCAACAATGAGAAATCTGGGAGAGAAATTAGGAAACAATTCCCTTTACAACAGCATCTAAGACAATAAAATACCTAGGAATACATCTAACCAGGGATGTGAAGGACTTCTAGAATGGAAACTATAAAACACTGCTGTAGGAGATTAAAGAAGGCTTAAATAAACGGAGAGATGTTCCGTGTTCATGGATTTGAAGACTTAATATTGTTAAGATGTCAATATTACCCAAAGCGATCTATAGATTCAACCCAATCCTGATCAAAATTCCAACAGCCTTCTTTACAGAAATAGAAAAACTAGTCCTCAACTTTATATGGAATGGCAAGAGGCCCGAATAGCTAAAAACCAAACCTGTTGCCATCGAGTCAATTCCAACTCATAGTGACCCTATAGGACAGAGTAGACTGCCCCATAGGGTTTCCAAGGAGCGGCAGGTGGATTCAAACTGCCCACCTTTTGGTTAGCAGTCATAGCTTTTAACCACTGTGCCCCCAGGGCTACAGCTGAATAACTAAAGCAATTTGAAAGAAAAGAACAAAGTAGGAGGACGAACACTTCCTGATTTTAAAACATACTATACAGCTATAGTAATCAAAACAACCTGGTGCTGGTATAATAATAGACATATAGACCAATGGAATAGAATTGAGAGTACAGAAA